GCTGTTAGAAGTATTATGCAAAATATAAAAGCCTACTGTTCTTTTTCTATAAAATGGGAACATATTACAAATTTGAAATTTTGGTTAACAGATGACAACCAACTTATCGATGTTTGTAAGTAAAATCATTACAAATAAATAATTCAGCGGTTGAGAACAAAAATTAAACTTTCTGGTCAATTATCAATAACCTAAAAAATAAAAAAAAAAGAAGACAAATTCAGATATTTCAGAAATATGTCTTGAAAACACATGTTTGTCTCCTTGACAAACTTTGATCATATGGAATCAGAGGATGTGTTTTCAGTTGTTTCCAATCATTTTTGATAAATCGAAAACAATATGTTCAACTTGTTTTGTAATAAGGAGGATAGTCCAAGTACAAAATACAATTCTCAAATTGCACTACTCCTTCAATCTACCGCTATGTGGAACGATGGTTCGAGCCCGACGCCCGGACGATCGATCAACCCGTGCTAATAATTGCACATTAAAAGGCAAGACCTTTTATTGAGTATGGTACACAGAGAGTGTGAGTGGTCAGTTTTCATTTAACAATTGGAATAAGTATTCATGAAAGGTTGTGTAAATAGTATTTTCATAGTATTCTCAGCTTCACTTTGTTATTTAAAGAATGGTGAAGCAGTTTGACCTGTAATAAAGTTAAAACGTTTATGTTGATTCACCTTTATTGAGTTGAATATAAACCAAATCCAATTAGTATGAGTTTCAGTCGACATTTCAACAGCTATCCAAATATGTGCTGTTTATTTGTACATCAGTATGAGTGTGACTTTCTCTAAAATAGCTTTGTCAGGAAAATACACCTCAGTACCAAAATCTGTCACCTGTTTTTCCGTTAATCAGCTGTCGCCTCTGTAAGAACAACAGTCGTCAAAAGTCAAACCTTGTGTGAGCTGAGGATTAACGAGGTCTTGCCTGTTAACGTGCGATTCCTAGAACGGGAAAAGTACAAAGACAAAAAACAGTGTGACATGCTGATTCAGTTTTGCTAGTTCTCATATTGATGGATTTTACAATTAAGCTACATTCAACAGTTGACGAGTACACACTATCTGAGACTACTTGGACAAGCTAATAAAATATAAATATTTTGATTGAAAACGTTGATCGACGGTATTAGGCGATATACTGTGGACACATTTTTTGAATACATTTATTTCATCTTTGTCTCTTACTCGTAGATCACTTATCAAAACTTTTTGATTTTCAGCTCGTTTGTGTTCTCAGTAGTGTTCCCATTCTTCATAATAACTGGAAGTGCAGGAAGTCCTCCGTATGATACAGGGTAAGTAAATACTTATTGAACTTCAGATGTTATAAACTGGGGATTTTATCACCACATTGATTCTTGGTATAGGCAAATAGAAGAAGATTTCGCTACTACTTCTTCTCTAAAAAACAAACTTAACTTATGCCAGTTTAGGTTACAATCCTGTAATGATAATAGAGTGCTCAATTAACATTTTTGGAAAACTTATTCATTATACTTTGAGGTTTTAGAGAAACTGGATTGTTTTGATTTAAGATGTACCTGTTTGACCTTTGACAGAAGTCGCTTACAAGAACTTGGCCTTTCGCAGACCAAAACTTGGCGAAATTTGCGTCGTGACTTGGGCCTGCACCCTTACAAAGTTCAACTGACCCAGGAACTGAAGGTAAACGGCCATAGACAACGACGTGTGTCCGCTGAATGGGCTCTTTAGCAGTTGCCAACTGACCCTAATTTTCATCGAAAAATCATCCTCAGCGACGAATGAGTACGTGAACAAACAAAATTATCGAATTTGGAACATGCGATCCAAGAGCGTCCAATCTATTCCGAAAACGTCACTTTTTGATATGGATTTTGGACTGGCGACCTCGTCGGTCCATATTTCTTTGAGAACGACATTGGCCAGGCCATCACTGTCAACGGCGAGCACTATAGGTCGATGATTCCCAAACTGGCGTACCACAAGGTTCAATACTGGGACCGATACTTTTCCTGCTATACATAAACGATTTAGCATCTATCGATATAAAAGGAAAATTCACCCTGTTTGCTGATGACACCACAATATTGTGGCGTGATAAAACTTTATGTAATCTACACGAGAATATAAGTGCAGATATAAAAAAAATAAAAAATTGGTGCGACTGTAATCTGCTGTCTTTCACTGTTTCCAAAAAAAATTTAATATCATTCCGCTGCTTTATTGACAGCATTCCTTTACCAACACAGGACGCGGACAGGATAATTGAAAACAGACATAGTACTAAATTTTTGGGGGTAATAATTGACAATAAACTCAAATTCGCCGATCACATTGTAACCCTCAATAAAAAGAATAACATATAAGGATCTTGGTTTGTCTGCCGCTCTCTTGTTGAGTCACATTTAAGGTATGGAATTCCTTTCTGGGGAGTATGTTGCAAATCTCAAATGCAGACGGTGTTCATTATTCAGAAAAGGGATATAAGATTCATGTGTAATGCCAAAAGTCGAGACTCCTGCAAACCCCTATTTGAATTACATAAAATCTATATTATATGTGTATATACATATGCTTATGTTTATGACGACTGATGAAAATTTGCAGCTTTGTCAATAAGACCTAATGTTCTTTGGGCAATAAAGCATATTATTATTATTATGTATGTGTGCACACATATAAATAAATACATTATTTTTCAGGAGATCAAAAGCTATCAAGAGAATTTCACAATGCGTGTTTCTGGATGGTCTCTGTTTTGTGGTAATCATTATCACCCACGAGTATATGTTTTCACCGGTTTGGCAAATGATCCTTACATTTTTGAAATCTTATGATCATTGCATTTATCTTCGGCCATGTTATTTTATATGCTGGCTTCTGGGTGAAATATTCAGCATTTTGTGGATCATACCTTTTTTCCTGTTGAGCAAACTGATCAACGTGTTTTTATTTCAGGTAAGTTGTTTAGCATATAAATGAATTTAATTTCAATTAAGTAAATTGTTGAATATTTTATAAACTGAAATTTTCAAAGACCTACTGAAAACGAGTAGCAACACACAACACTCAATTTGAGAATTTAAACTTTCTCAGAAAGTTTTAAATTCAAGATGGCGCCAAGTGAGATATATCAATAGATTTATCAACCACTTTATAGTATATGCAATTCGAAGCTAAATAGTTACCGAACGTCGGCAGATTCTTTGTATGGCATGGACGGCGTGGTATTCGTACGAAGTCTAATCTTTATTTTCATGTGGGAGGTTTTATATGGTATTAACTGGTAAATTTATCAGAACCGGCACAATACTCTTTTATTTTGCTTTTCGGATGGACTTCGTATAGACTATACACATTAATATATATTTTTAGCACGTCAGAGATAACCTTACCAAATAAGATACAAACATGAAATAAATATTGTAAAAATATTTTATACCGAACGTCGGCAGTTTCTTTGTATGTCATGGACGGCGTGGTATTCATACGAAGTCTAATCATTATTTTTATGTGGGAGTTGCACTCAATAAAAACTCAGCAGCAGGGCACGACAACATATCCGTTAAAGACATAATATTAATTGAAAAAAATGTCATTTCCATACTCGTTAATTTGATAAACGATATTTTCAAAGCTGGGATATTTTCTGAGATACTGAAGACTGGAAAAGTAATACCAATATTTAAAGGTGGTGATAACAAAAACTTAGAAAAATATAAACCTATAACAATTGTGTGCTCATTCTCTAAAATTATTGAAACTGTAATAAAGACAAGAATAATGGACTTTGTTGATCGTTATGTGGGATTTGATGAGTATCAGTTGGTTTTATCAAGGGTAGCAGCACTCTAAGTGCCACAATAGATTTCATTCATAATATTACATCGGAATTGGATAAAAAAAGAATGGTTATTGCAGTGTTCATTGATTTAANTGAAATTAATATTGAAAAATAGTTGTATGAAATAATTCTTAATAAAAAAATATATAAATATTCAATGAGCAATACAAAACAATTAGCGCGAAGTCAAAAAACTTGTGGACATAATATAATCCTGAATATATAATCCTAATAAACTATAAGCGGAGTTTTCTTACTGTGGAGTTACTAGTGTGCTAGATTCTTCTTCCGTAGAAGTTGAATGTTCTCAGTGTTTTAGAAATGATCAGGTATTGTGATTTTTATTTCAAATCCACTGTATCTGCATGTTTTAACAAAATCGCTAATCAGCGTATCATTCATGTCTTTATAGAGCAGTCCTATTCTTTCTAATTTTCTGAAAGTTTTAGTTAGCTCTTGAAGTTGTAGCTTTTCTTTCACTAACTTTGATGGTATTCCAATGTATTTCAGTTCATGTTGATTGGTAAAAAGTGTTGAATCGAACCCCTCTAGATCCAAACCTAACAGGTCGAGGCTCTCCAAATTTCTCAAGCCAATGAAAGTATTGATTTCGAAATTGATGATTGGATTATGGCTCAGTACCAAATGATTCAACCTTTCTAAGTCGAGAAAAGTATCTCCCGCAATATATTTTATGCCGTTTCCTTGTAGATCTAAATAATCGAGTTCATTCAGTCCTTCCAAGAGGTTTTTTGTCAAATTTGTTATATTTTGTCCTGTGATTGTTAGATGATGGAGAGTTATTGAGTTCTTGAATGCTCCTAAAAAGTGTAGTTTGTGTTGAATATATAATTATGATGTACACTATGAAAAAAAAATTAAATTAGATGTTGAACAAAACATTGAGGGGACCTACCCGGAGGTCACTCTAATCTTCCAGTTATTTATTGTGAAGTTTTGGTGGAAAATGTTGTAACATAATGTTTTTAACAGTATCAAGTAACAAATTGTTTTCATTTATTTGTAAGAATACTCATATTTCCAATCAATTTTCATTTCAATTAATGTCCCTTGTATGTTAAAAAAATTTGATAAAATCTTTTGTGAGGGGATGACACTACCCTTACGAGGACGCCATCTACTAGATCGATAGAGAACTCGCTCCTTGATTCTTCAGAGGTTTATACATCCTGAGTTAATACCCGATGATTTTGCTTTCAATTGCCGGCTCAACAAATTTTTAGAACACCATAATTTAGTGTTGAACTATCAACACGGATTTAGGCAAAATAAATCAACATCAACAGCAGTAGCAGAACTCTGTGAAAACATTTATAACTATTCAAACAACAAACAAAACACAATAACTCTATTGTTGCGAATGACTGGATTACAGCATATTTGAAAGATAGAAAACAGATAGCAGTATTGAATAATGATAAATCAAAAGAATATGGGTGTTCCACAGGGTTCTATAATGACTCCGGTACTCTTCATAATTTTTATGAATGGTATGATTAACTCATGTGCAAGTGTGCAGAATATAATTATGTATGCCGACGATACCAATTTTCTTATTTCAGAAAAATCAATATGTGATATGGTACTTAGAGCCAATACTGTAGCGAATGAATTGGTGTACTTACAATGGTCTAGTGGTGAATTTGTAAAAAACATGCTTCATGCAGTTTCTAACAAAAATCTGAATAGGAATTCTAGTTTATTAATAAGAGTAAATCATAGTAGCATTGAACAGATTGATGTTGCTTGCTTTCTGGGAGTTATAGTGGATAATAAAATGACATGGAAAAATCAAATAAACGAAACAACCACCAAGCTGAGTAAGTTTTGTAATAAGAAAACTGAAAAATACCGTATCAACTGAAATTCTGAAATTGGCATACTATGGATTGGTTCAGTCAACACTCAGTTATGGCTTAATGTTTTGGGGTAGCTTAAGCTACCTAAATTAAATATTCATAATCCAAAAAAATCATTGGAAGCATGGTTGAAATCAATTTTTCCAAAGATAGGTATTCTCACAGCGTATTTACTATATATATTTCAAATTACTCTGAATATTAAGACACAAGAGAATTCCATTCTTAAAAATAGCTGTTTACACAAGTACGATACAAGAAAATGNATCCCTTTAAAAATTAAAACCCAACATTTGAAACATCAATTTGAATACTTTTCGAAGTGAATTTGAAAAACTCATGAATTAAACTCAACTTTATTTTGTTCAAACTTGCATTTGCTGTACTACTACCTGGTGTAATACTTAAATATCAATGATAATGTGAAACACTAAAAATGTTTTTCAAATGAATTTTGAATATTCTCATTGAAAAAGAAAAGCCGATTGTTTTAGAAGCATATCAAATAACAAATATTTCAAGCATTCAAAGTCTCTGATATTTACCATTTTCCACAAATAGTCCTTGATTGTTGGCAATGAATTGTCAAATTTTGACAACACGATTTAAACAAATCCTCAGTCAAGTTAGGAAACTTATAGTTTTTTATTAGATATAATGTATCCAAAGATTTTGAGCCAGAGGAGAATTTTTTTATACTGGAAAATTGAATATCCAGAGAGTCTACATTATTGAAAATAACAAATGATGAGTTGCTTATATCCCCCGAACTGTTCCTTAAAAATACCGACTTTACACTTGTGTTCAATGTTTTTTCAGTCATGTTGAAAACTAATATATTGTTCTCATCTCCTGTTAGATTCAAACAATAAAGTCCGTGAATTTCATTGCTACATTTCGGTTCAATTGATGTAAAATATATCACAAGCAGGAATATTGACGATAGCCGTAACCTAAAACATAATAGGTGAATTTTACAACTAAGAATAGAAGATTTTTTCTGAGAGTTTATTACTTCTCCATTTTACATGTTGAAATATTACTTGTTTTTCAATTTGTCATGATTTTCCATGAACGACAACACTTTCAAGAGCAACAATGAGTGGTTTACTTTGTGCTTTGATATCAAGGATCACGATTTTTATTAACCTTTTATCATGAAAATATCATTAATTGTTGAACATCATTGGCGAAACTACATAATAATAACGAATAAACATGTTTTTTGGAAATCAATCTGGTGACAGTGTTGAGAAGGAATGTATACGAGGTCTATTCAAAAAATAAGGTGATTTTTTTTTGTTGGTACACTCGTTTCGAACATATGTTCACAGTTTCAGCTGTTTATCAGTTTCTTGGTGAGGTTAGGTTAAGTTAGGTTTGGTTAGGTCAAAGAGTTTGCATCGAGTTTCGTGTAAAGAATGAAAACAAGTAGTCAAAAACACTAGTGATGTTGATAGTGACATCCAGTGATTGTACTCTGAGCCAGAAAACTGTTTTCAAGTGGTGCAAATTTCTCATAGAAGATCGAGAAGATATGAATGACGACGCTCGCCCTGGAAACCCAGCACTTTTCGGCATATCAATTGGCTCATACCATGCTTTTTTTTTAATTTTTAGCATCAAGCATGTGGCAGCAANATTCTAAAGGATAAGTATTTAAATAATTTTTTAAAGACAAAGGTTGAAATGATAAGTTTGAAATGCGTTGTTTTAGAGCTCTTTTATGAAAACTACTTGATTTTCGTCAGGAGGAACATTCCCCATTGACAATGTTAAAAATGACTGAAAATTCTCCTCATGGAATACTTGAATACCCCCCTTTCTCCATGCTCTCGTTGATTTCAGATATTTTAATTTTTAAGGAGTGTTTTTTTATTTACATTGTTTACAATCGATAAATTCAACTATTACTTTTTCATTTCAGGATATTGCCGATTGTGTTTATACACCTACTAGAGGACTGAGTAGATCCAAGAGCAAGCAGATATCGATCCCAGATTTAATATGTTCTTTGGGTGTCCAAATTTTATTTCTGTTGCAAATTACTTTATTGAATTACAACCCTTTTCCTGCTTTGACGTACCCTTGTTACGCTTTGAGGATGTTTCTGACTTGCTTGCTGTATTCTCAGTACGCTTTTGAATATAAGTGGATCAACATGGGATTGAATCTATCAGCAAGACTGAACTTCATAGAAAATGAATGGCCTTATTTTTTTGGTTTTGGCCTACCAATGTTTTTGTGTTCGGAATATCCTGAATCTTTTTTTGCAAGGTTAGTATCTTCTTATAAACTCTCTAAAAATCCACCGTATACTAAATAGTATGCAGTGTCTGTGTCTGCCAAAGAGTATGTGCCATTTAAAAAACATTTCTTTCCAACGAATTCTGGAAAGTTTATTACTAGCATTAATTTTGCTTGCTTGAGAATAAAAAAAATCGGAAATTTGATATTTTTCAAAAAAATTATGTGCTGTTAGAAGTATTATGCAAAATATAAAAGCCTACTGTTCTTTTTCTATAAAATGGGAACATATTACAAATTTGAAATTTTGGTTAACAGATGATTATGTTCAACTTGTTTTGTAATAAGGAGGATAGTCCAAGTACAAAATACAATTCTCAAATTGCACTACTCTTTCAATCTACCGCTATGTGGAACGATGGTTCGAGCCCGACGCCCGGACGATCGATCAACCCGTGCTAATAATTGCACATTAAAAGGCAAGACCTTTTATTGAGTATGGTACACAGAGAGTGTGAGTGGTCAGTTTTCATTTAACAATTGGAATAAGTATTCACGAAAGGTTGTGTAAATAGTATTTTCACAGTATTCTCAGCTTCACTTTGTTATTTAAAGAATGGTGAAGCAGTTTGACCTGTAACAAAGTTAAAAAGTTTATGTTGATTGACCTTTATTGAGTTGAATGTGAGCCAAATCCAATTATGTGCTGTTTATTTGTACATCAGTATGAGTGTGACTTTCTCTAAAATAGCTTTGTCAGGAAAATACACCTCAGTACCAAAATCTGTCATCTGTTTTTCCGTTAATCAGCTGTCGCCTCTCTAAGAACAACAGTCGTCAAAAGTCAAACCTTGTGTGAGCTGAGGATTAACGAGGTCTTGCCTGTTAACGTGCGATTCCTAGAACGGGAAAAGTACAAAGACAAAAAACAGTGTGACATGCTGATTCAGTTTTGCTAGTTCTCATATTGATGGATTTTACAATTAAGCTACATTCAACAGTTGACGAGTACACACTATCTGAGACTACTTGGACAAGCTAATAAAATATAAATATTTTGATTGAAAACGTTGATCGACGGTATTAGGCGATATACTGTGGACACATTTTTTGAATACATTTATTTCATCTTTGTCTCTTACTCGTAGATCACTTATCAAAACTTTTTGATTTTCAGCTCGTTTGTATTCTCAGTAGTGTTCCCATTCTTCATAATAACTGGAAGTGCAGGAAGTCCTCCGTATGATACAGGGTAAGTAAATACTTATTGAACTTATTAGAAACTAATACATTTTCCATCTGGGTTATGTTGATGCCATTGATGCCACCAGGGCGAGCATAAGTAGTGCCCTTTCTTCTTGATTTTTTAACGGAACAGAATATCAAGATCAGACAAAATTCAGATAAAAACGTATAATTTCTAGTACTTTTCAGTACATTTTTTGTTATTTCTAAAAATCGGATCAGTCGTTCCTGTAGCAGTTTTTTATTAGTTTTGCGGATCTATAAACAAACGATAAATATCTCAATTTCAGGAACAAATGTATTCTTAACTCATTATGGAATGTTTCTGGGATAATTTCGTTAGGACCACCTATTATTCTAAATCAACTCTATAGTAAACTGCGATTGTGTAACATGAACTTTAGATTTCATCAATCCTCTCAAAAATCTAAGGGTGTCATATCAGGTAATGTAGCGGGTCATTCTAAAGGAACATAGATTTGGATAATTGTTATATGGCCACTTTCGAACCAGCTCTTCGTAATTTTGCTGAAACCTAATGTTACTTGAAAACTCGTTCACGTTTGACAATTTTCCAAACCCGTAGACAAGCAATTATGACCCCTGAGAAGAGCCCAAAATATAACTTGATTTACCGCCTTTGAATGTTTTCGGAACTCGTGGATACTAAAAGAGGTAATTGCAAATATATTACCTTGGAAACATTTCATAATGTTGTAAAAAAATTGTGACCAGATTTCATTGTTGTCAGGGAGTGACAGATAAATAATATTTTGAATATTCTTGAGTTCTACATTCTTATCGAGAAGTACTAGAAATGATACCTTTTCATGTAACTTTTGTCCGACCTTGACATCTTGTTCCGAGGTGAGGGATATTTATGTCAGCACTGTATTTTCTGTTTGAAGATGTTTGACAATGATTCATGGTGAGTTTCATTAGTTCGGACTTCCATTGCCTGATAATATATGATTTGAAATCGGCAAAAATAATTGTGAATTTATTTATCATTTTTTAAATTGAAGGGATATAATTTTAGGAATTAATTTTAGGAAAAAAAGTTTTTGGTTTTCTACTTCTTCTTTTTGATACAAAAAATGTGGTAATCTTCCAAAGAAAGGAAGCAATCAATTTAAAAAATCAACTCTATACAAAGATGTGTAGATCACTCAAAGAAATAACTTTCAGACACAAACTGAAAGAAAGTCCTCCTGAAACAGCTACTTTCATATAAACATTGAATTATACGAAAGAAAAATTTCGAATTTCGAAAGAAAAAATTCTTTCGAAACAAATACTTTTTTTTATATGAACGCTGAGTTATACGAAAAACACTTTTCCCTATTCCTCTATCTGATTCGATTCTATACGAATATTTGGAATACTTAAGAAACAGATCACAACTGGTAGAGCACAATAGTGTTAGATCGTCAACTCAAAATATACTGACAGATTTGCTCAATCATTGGACCTTTACTATTCATTTTAAGCAATATCAGTGGAAAATCCATTCTTTATGCCGATGATGCAATTGTCTTTCGCTCCGACCGTGATCCATTAAACTCAGAAACTATAAAACAAAATATAAGTGAAGAAATAAAACCCTGCTGAGTCTCAACTTAAGCAAAACAGTCACTATAGATTTCACCTTCAGGGATTTCAATGGGGATATAGATAACATAAAANATTATATCTGTCATAATTGTGTGAATGTACATGTATTCTATAAGGTCTTACATATAAGCAAACAAGAGAACACTTTTTTAAAACGATGCTAAAACATATTTTGTTATCTTGAGCAAATAAAGTATTCCATTCTATTCTCTTCTACAAACGAAATAGAGAAAAATGTTTTTCGTATAATTCAGCGTTCATATAAAAGTATTTGTTTCGAAAGTATTTTTCTTTAGTGAAAGTCAATGTTTATAAGAAAAAAGCTGTTTCAGCAGGGCTTTTTTTCCAGTTTGTGTCTGAAAGTTATTTCTTTGCATGATTTATTATTTTGTTTAGGAAAGTGCAAAGAGCTATTAAAATTTAAATTCCAAATTTCTGCATGGATATTTGATAATATGACATTGACATCTCATTTTCTTGAGTTGTGTTGATATATATTTTTTATTGTTTCAGGTACATAACGTTACCCGTTTTCTTTCCTACGATGTACATGATAAATAGGATAGTATCACTATTTAGCAAATCTGATACTAATACACATCACACTCAACAGAACAGATGAGGTTTATTATTTATACAGGGTA